TCTCCTGGGCTCGAGCGATCCTTCTGCCTCAGCCTCCCGGGTAGCTGGGACTACAGGCATGCGCCACCATGCCCGGCTAATTTTTTTTATATATATATCAGTTGGCCAATTAATTTCTTTCTATTTATAGTAGAGACGGGTCTCGCTCTTGCTCAGGCTGGTTTTGAACTCCTGACCTTGAGCAATCCGCCCGCCTCGGCCTCCCAGAGAGCTAGGATTACAGGCGTGAGCCACCGCGCGCCAGATAACCTCACTTTTAAGGGCCTTCTCCAAGAAAATGCTTCATTGTTCAAAAACATTCCCCCTTTAGATAAAATATATCTCCTAAATTAGCTGAAATCTGTAGGCTTTATAAATCAGGCACGTACAATCAGACTATAATATAATACTGTGAATTCATGCACAAATGCTATATTTGAAATGTCAAGTGGGACTGGTTTTTTAACAGCATATATGATTAGCATGGAATACTAACAATCACTTGTACAAGGGCAAGCTGCAGCCTCTAAAATCCTGGCATTTCCAAAAAAAAAAAAAAAAGCCAAGACCACTCTTAACTCATAAAAGAAATGCCATGACTCTCTCTCGATGCCGTCTGGGGCAATGACATCTGCCTTGACCCGCTGGAAACTGCAGGGTGAACTGTTTCCTCCCAGGACCAGGGCAGATAAACGCCGTCCTTGAGACCTGAGGCTGCTGGCACCGCTACCCACCACCCCTCTGTGTCAGTGGCTACCTCAAGAGGTGAGTAGCTGTACCTTTATTTGTCTCTTAGAATCCAGGAAAGGAAGTGCAGTGTCCTTAGCTTTTTCTTCACTTCTGCTTTGTGACGCTGTGCTCACTTTGTGGAGTCCTATTCCTCAGGGGTGAAAGCACCTGCTTTTGTCTACTTTGGAATTGAATGTAGCGTTTGGTTAAACTAAGTCTTTAATAGGATCAGCCTGTGTTACAAGATCTTGTTAATTTGAGGGAAGCAACTCTAGGAAGTGGTACTGCTCTCTGAAACCCTAAATCCCAATAGCCCAGAAAGACAGCTTCTGCTTGCGCCCTTACAGCTGATTGGTGTTCTTTGTCAGGTTAGGCTGGGAAGCAGGGTGGCTACTGGTGGCCTTCAACACTCCTGTTCCTGAAGAGTTTTGATTCCGTTGGGGCGAGTTAATCCATCTGTAGTCACTGCTTGACCAGCCACTTGATAACATCCTGCAATCAAAAAAGGTAAGAAGGAAAAGGTTATTCTTTTTTTCCCCTGGGAAGGAAAAAAAGAAGAAGAAAAAAAAAAAAAAAAACGAAAGAAGAGGCTTAAACTTCTGTCGATTTTATGATGTTCTGGACTACAGCCTTATCCGAGCTTCCAGATCCCTAGATTTCCCTAAAGCAAAACAAAGGGGGCCTTAGGTTATTTTCAATATTTAAATCTAATGAAACCCACATATAATTACAGCAAGGCTAAAAAGATAACTAAAATATCACATCTTCTTTCTGTATAATTATTGAAAGGTGATCCAAGGTCAGAGAGCACTATCTGTGACTTCCGGCTAGGTGGAAAGTCGGCTTGGATGGCCACAGAAGTCTTGCTGACTCTCTGTTATTAGGTGTCACCTGTTAATTCTCATAATAAGGTTTATTTTTTATTATCTTTTTAATATATATATATATCTTTTTTCCTTACTTTGTTGCTCAGGCTGAGTGAGTGCCGTGGCATCAGCCTAGTCTCACAGCAACCTCAATCTCCTGGGCTCAAGTGATCCTTCTGCCTCAGCCTCCCGAGCAGCTGGGACCACAGCATGACACACATGCCCGGCTGCATTTTTTTTTTTGTTTGGCCTGATTGAGGTTGCTGTGAGCTAGGCTGATGCCACGGCACTCACTCTAGCCTGGACAACAAGTGAGACTCTGTCTCAAAAAAAAAAAAAAAAAAAAAGTGAGGTTATCTCAGAGGCACCATATACAAACCCAAGAGGGAGGCAGGTACTGTTCCTTCAATGGAAGCTACTCATAATAATAATCATAATAAATTTATTATAAGTAAATATTAGCAGAAATAGCAATAGGCCCCCTAAAAGTCAATTTTATCATGATCTTACCAACAATAGCAATAGTTGCTACCATTTGTCATTAAGGAGTGCCTGTTGCCAGACAGTTTACACGTGGCTCACAACTTTATGAAATACTTGATATTCTTCCCCTGTTTTATAGATGAGAACACTTAGACTCAAGTTAGTAACTTGTCTGAGGTTGAACAACTTATCATTGCAGAGCCGGAATCTGATGCCCAAGACCCTAGTCTGGCCCACCTGTTGTCACTAGCTGCACATTTTCTACAAACAAAGCCCTTCCTTCCATCACAAATAATACGAGTTAGAAAAGGCTGATACCAAGCCAGCCTCACCCTTCTGAGGGGTTTCCCGATTCCTACGTCAGGAGTGGCCATGTCAGGCTGGGTCTCTCCCGCAGCAGGCTGAATGGGAGAGAAGGTCAGGCCCCACAAGCAGAAGTTCTGAGACTGAACTTGGAAACTATTGTAAAGGAAACAGCAACAAGAAAAAAACTATATGGTAAAAATACATATTTTCTCCTGTATCAAAAAAAATTGAAATAATTTTTAGTCACTCTGGACCTGTTTCATCGTCTATAAAATAGGGAAGTTATAGTTCAGATGATCCTTAAAGTTCTCTAGATCCTTAAGATTGTGAGTTTTTGAATTTAAAAGCAGCTTGCTTTTGCAGCTCAGCCCCAGGTTCTGAGAGGTTCAGATAGTATGATCTGGCAAAAGGGATTCAGGTAGGTGAAACTGCTAAACGAAAGCATGCTGATGGCTTGAGTAGTTCTCCCTGACCTTGTATGTGCGTTACCAGATCCTTTAGTAATCTCTATTCTTGATGTACACTGGCGGGGACCCCCTCCTAGCCAGAGGGTGGCTCCTTGCAAGACCCTCCCACCCACCTGTGTCCTGTGTTCTGGACTCAGGATTGTGTGCCAGCTTCAGAGGATGCTATCCATAGCCGTGGAGGTGGACAGGACCCCCACCTGCAGCTCCAATAAAATTGCTGAGATGATGTTTGGATTTGTGCTGGACATTCCTGAGAGGAGTCAGAGGTGAGTATTAGGTTTTTTGGGGGGGGAAAAAAACCTTTAAGAAGTCATTTTTCTTAAATTAACTTTTCTATCTGGCCTGCCTGCTGGTAACAGAATTTCACAAGAGAAAATTACAAGCTGAAAAAAAAAAAAAAGAAAATTTCTAACTAGTTAAAATAGGAAGAAAGCAGTATTGGGATTGTTCCTGTCTCTTTGACTTTTTGAAGGAAGGAGGTTCTCTCAACTAATTGTTGTTATTTGCAACTAAGGCATAATTTCTTGGGAAGAGGCAGGATACCCCAAACGGAGCATAAATTTCCCTACCATACCCATTTCACTAAAGACTTACTCACCCTTCAAGATCCAGCTGTTAAGCACTACCACCTTCTCTGATCTTCATCCACAGGCCTGGCATATGTGTTCGCTGAATGCTTGGCAGATGAATGAAATAGACATGTCCGATATTAGGGGAAAGAGAGGTGACCCACTGAAGACACCTGGATCTGTAGAATGAGCCCAGATAGTAAGAACAAGGAATCCAGTTTCTCTAACCATAAATTAGTAAAGTATTTTATTAGGAGGAGATAAAGAAATAGATTTTTGGGTTATGACCAATGATTCCTTCCTTGAACCAGTAACTTTAAAATCCAGAGGAAGAAAAATAAATTGGAATTGCTGATAAGGTGAATAACTGTGAGAAAGCTATTGTAGAGTGGCCACACTTGGGAAATGATGGTGTGTATTTGTCTTCAGGGCACCTCCATCAGCTAAATGCTGCTTCCCATCCGTGTCCCTAGGCTCCCAGCTTGCAACCAAGACTGCTCTTGTGCAGCCCTGGTTTCTTCTATTAAAGAAAATGCCATGCCACAGAGCACTGTCATCGGACTTAATTAAAACACCCTGCTGATATTCAGACAAACATTTACTGAGTTCCTACAGTGTGTCGACCGTTGTCGCATTAATTACATCATTTATTTTCATGAAACCTTATACTGTTATCCCATTTAATGAATAAGAAAAACACTCAGGTGAAGTTAACTAGCCTAAGGTTGTGCAGCTAATCAGATTCAGAATCCAGATTTAAATCTAGGGCTACTTAATCCCAAATTCAGTATTCAAAGGAGGCAGTATGAGAGTGGGCGCAGTGGCTCACACCTATAATCCATCCTAGCACTCTGGGAGGCCAAGGCAGGAGTATCGTTTGACCTCAGGAGTTCGAGACCAGCCTGAGCAAGAGCAAGACCCCGTCTCTACTAAAAGAGATAGAAAGATTAACTGGGCATCATGGCACATGCCTGTAGTCCCAGCTACTTGGGAGGCTGAGACAGGAAGATTGCTTGAGCCCAGGAGTTTGAGGTTGCTGTGAGCTAGGCTGACGCCACTGCACCCCGGCCTGGGCAACAGAGTGAGAGGACAACACTTTAGGCCCAGGCATAAAAATTGGAAGAGAAAATATAATTTCAAATAAAAGATTATTGAACAGGAAAATTGTCATGTCAGAGTAATAGGCCAAATGCAAAGTAGAAATTACACTTTAAAAGAACTTGAGGAATATCTTGCAAATGTAAGAATGTGGAGTTCTTTGCATGAAAGAAGAAAATTTTTCAGAGAAAGATATAAAAGGATTTTTAAAACACATTAAAGAGATGAAATGGATTTTTAAGAATATTTAAGATATCTTAAAACTTTTGAATAGTAAGAAACAAAAGTTTTAAATATTCATTTTTCTTTTTGAACTTTGTTTTACTCAAATTTATGTGTCTGGTGGAAAAACAAAGGTAAGGGTAAAAAAGAAAAAATGAATACTTTTCTTATTTATCAATTTTATAAGTGACAGCGGCAAAGGGAGTCTCCTATTTTCCCACATGTTGCAAAACTGCAGACGGGCAGGATGTTGTAGAAGAAAGAACCCTTTGGTTGGGGGCCAGCTCCGTTGCTTGTTGACTAGGCAAGTCATGCTGTTCTTCCTCGCTGTCATCTCCTTACCTGCTCCCAAGCTAATCTACCTCCCGAAGTGCTATGACTCCCAAACTTGTCCAGGACCACCAAAAAGCCAAAACCTTCTGACAGTCCAGAGATGCAGCCTGTGTCTGAGATTCACAGACTTTTATTGGACACTAACATAGCTTTTAGAACAACGTGTTTGATTCACCTTCTTAGAGCCTAGCTCCAATTTGGTCACTCCCCTGCTCAGAAGCTTTTGAAAGTGCTTCAGCCCCCCTTTGCTGATGAAACTGGCTAGAGTGGCAAAGTCAAGGACAAGAGTCCCTCTGGAACTCAGAAGGCCCAGACTCTGAAATTTAAGAAGCCACAATGCCACAGTTGTATATTTTTTTACATCTTTATGTCTGCTCATGTTTTTCTCTTTGTTGAAATGCCTCCTGCCTCAAGCCGTCTTTGCTCCTCCTAGACGGGGCCTCCCGGTCACCAGTGCTGCCTGCTCCACAGGAAGGCCACTTCCAGTCCCCTGACCAAATGCACCCTCTCCTCTGTGTATCTCTGGAGCACTGCCAGTGCCTCGCACACATGTACATTTGCCCTGCACTTCACATTTACGTCCCCATTCATACCTCTTGCCCCTGTTCAACTATCGGCTTCTTGAGTACCCTCTTTTGTTTATCTTAATATTCCTTATTGTGCCAAATAGTATCTGGTACATTTTGGCATTCAGAAATATTTATTCTCATGATCAATTCTCATAGTTGTAGTGGGAAGTAATGTCTTTTTAATGTATCCTAAAATTGTCTTTTTCAAATGTCAAAGACTTTTTCCTCCTCCTGGCAGTTGTTAATTCATGAACAAATTCGTTTCTGCCCTGTCTACGAGCTTTGTGACTCTGTAGGACTCCACTGACTTCCTTCCTTAGCCGTCTTTTTTTAGGGTAAATGTGAGAACGTTCAGGGTGAATTGGGTGTGTGTTCTTTGAAATACAGTTGTGACGGTTAACTCCGTCTTCCTCTTCACACAGAGAGATGTTCTTTACTACCATGGAGAGCCACCTTCTGCGCTGCAAAGTGCTAGAAATCATATTCCTGCACAGCTGCGAGACGCCCACGCGCTTGCCCTTGTCTCTGGCCCAGGCCCTCTACTTTCTGAACAACTCCACGTCTCTGCTCAAGTGTCAGGTACGTTGTTTCCTGCCTCCATTCCAGGCCTCGACCCCCTTTCCTTCCCCCGACTCTCTGCCCATGGAATCTTAGCTTGAAACACAGCTGTTTGAGCATTATGTAAACATGAATTAAAAACCGTGCGAAAAGTTTTAACTGGGGAAGACGTTTATCATCCATTGCTTTTCCTGTTTCTGCAGTCGGATAAAACGCAGTGGCAGACTTGGGACGAACTGGTTGAGCATCTGCAGTTTCTGTTGTCTAGTTACCAACATGTCCTAAGAGGTAAGGGGCACTTGTGCACAAATAGGCATTGTCGGAGGTCTCCCAAAGGACGTTCTTATGAATAACAGTTATGCAAGGGAACTCCGAGTTGTCCACTTAAGGAAAGCACTGTTCCTTGCTTTCAACTGGAAATGGCAAAGCTGGAGGCACTACTGTAAAGAAGAAGAATTCACATACTTTGTTATAGCTGATAACACAGTGGTCCTCACAGTTACAAGGTTGTGAAGGTAAGCAGAAGTCATTACCATGACACGAAAAGTATTCAGTGATGAGCTGCTCGGCCCTGGCCTATGGCTGCAGCCTCTTTGTTGGGTTGATTGACCACTGACTGTGGACATGGCAAATGTCTGTCAGTACAATGCGAATACAGAGCAAACCAGCGGCAAGGTGAACATGTACTTGCGAAGGATGTTAGGTGCCACCGAGTCTGTGAAAATGGCTCTGCAGAGCTGCTCAGATCACAGGCAGAGCCAATAACTTGTGAGGATCTGGGAGAAGTAAACCAAGTAACACTCAGGTGGCCAATGTTGACAAGGATAGTGATGAGATAGCTGATTCAGATGAGAGTGATTTTATTAGCCAAGGATCAATGAGCCCCTTGGAAAAACTGAATAACTAATCAATTATTAATTGCAAAAAGAAAAATATTAATAGTAACTTGACAGGGGAGAGACCTGGCTTTCCTCCTGGATGTGATGGACCGAGGTGGACACGCCCTCAAGTGTGTATTGTTCTTGCCGAAAACTTATGACCTGAATCTAATCACAAAGAAGCATCAGACAAACCCAGATTGAGTGAACTTTTACAAAATAACTGACCTATACATTTCTTTTGTTAAAAGAAACAAAAGCACATGAATACTAAATGCAATACATGATCCTAGACTGGATCCTAAATGAGGAAAGAAGAAACCATAAATTAGAGTATTGGGACAATTGGTGAAAGTTTAATAGATTAGATAATAGTATTGTATTATTAAATTCCCTATTTTTGATAATTATACAGGATTGTGACAGTAAATGTCTTTGGTCTTAGGAGATCCATGTTGAAGTACTGAGGAGCAGAAGGACACAGTGTCTGCAGCTTACTCTCAATAGTAAGGGGAAAGTGTGTATATAAAATCTACCTGCCCGTTATCACGTCAGGGTTGATATTAACTCAGTAATGACATGTGGGAGGATAAGAGAGCCGTTAGATCTCTCAGGCCTGGAACTGAGAAAGCTGTTGTAGAGACATTTAGAGAAATACCACTGGATTTAATACAGACAGTCTAGGTTTAAATCCCAACTTTACCACATACTCTGTTGGGCAGCTAGTTGTGTCTCTACACCTCAGTTTCTTCCTTCTGTAGAATGAGGACGATAATACATAATTTGCAAGGATTGATAATTAATGGGTACGTGAAAAAAAGTGCTAAGTGTTCAGTAAACGTTAGTTGCATTCCAGCGTGCCTGTTGGCCTGGCTAACGCGTGGAAGAGTGCATCGTCACACCCAGCACATGGGGTTGTGCAGTTTGTACGGTTTTTAGCATCCTCAAAGAAAGGTACTGTCCTTCTCAGACCAAAGCCCCAAAGGCAAACTCCTGTGTTCTCAGCCTCACTGAGGTTTATGTAGTTGTTTCCTTTGGAGAGCTAACAGAAAGGTTAGTATCAGAGAATTTCTGTTTGAAGTTCACCTTTAACACTTCTTGTTCATTTCCGTCTCGAGTCCCGGGGGACATAGCTGTTGTGGGCGACAGTGGCTGCAGCAGACCTGCGTCTGCTTTTTACAGAGTACTTTATGCTCTGACAAGGCAGGCCTCGGACCAGTGTGTGTGGCCCAAGGATAAATGGGGTGTTCTGATGCTGTTTTATCCTTACTGTTCTCTCCACCTTTTTTGGAGACCAAGAATTAAGAAGAAAGAAAACTATTTAACACTAGTAGTTAGAAAACATTGCCTTACAAAGAACACGGCTGAGTGGTCCCTGACACAGTCGGTCGCCGTCCTCGCCAGTCTGCAGGCGTTTCGCTGTGGGGCCCTGCGTGGCCTCTGCCCCTGCAGGTGCTCTGTGGGTGTGGTCCAGGGCATTTGGGGCCAGCCTGAGTCGTCTCGCCCCAAGAGTACGGAAGAAGGGAAGGGGTCAAAGAGCCCACGCTTGCCCTTTGTTCGGGGGGAGCCCCTTAGCAGGGAGGCAGACAGCAAACAAGACCAGGTAAAGTCACCACACTGGCTTACATACCTCAGTAACCTGTGACGGTATCACTCCCATTTACAGGTGGGAAAACAAGGACCAAGAGAGAAGTAAATGGAGAGCCAGGATTCACACTTAGGTGTGTCACATGCTTGTAGTCACAGCTACTCGAGAGGCTGAGGCAGGAGGATCATTAATTTCTTTCTATTTATAGAAAGACGGGACTCGCTCCTGCTCAGGCTGGTTTCAACTCCTGACCTTGAGCAATCGCCCGCTCGGCCTTCCAGATGCTGGGATTACAGGTGTGAGCCACGCGGCAGCCCTTCTTTATTTCATTTTTAACTATACGTACAAAGAGTAATCTATGTTTGTCGCTGTTTTTTCAAAAAGAAAGAAAGAAAAAAA